CTCCGAGCACAGTTTAATTCGGGGGTGCCTCTACCCAAGGATGGTTTCACATTTTTGTTGAAGAACTGTAATAACCAGTGCAATAAGACTGTTGCATAATACATTTCTGTTCTCAATAGTGCCTTTTAAGTACTTGGGATACACTGTGGATATAGTTTATATTTTGGACATTAAATCTATTTGAGAAATAGATGGGGTCGGTTTAAGGAGGTGGGGTGGGGGTGGGGGGTTGGATTGCAGGGGGAGGTACACTACTTTGTTTTTTTTGTTTGTTTTTTTTTTATTTTTTTTTTATTATTTTTTGTTTGTTTTTTGTGTTACTCTGTCTCTCTTTTCTCAGGTGACCGGGGCGACTCATGTTTACTCTCTTGTTTTATTCTAATTTATGACTGATCCTCAATTGTCATCGGCTACAGGGGTGGGACGAGAGATCCGTTTCACCAGCTTCAACTGCAGGGGACTTAACAATCCGGTAAAACGCAGTAAGGTACTTCATCACATGCAGCGATTGGGGGCACAAATAGCTTTCCTTCAAGAGACACACCTTAAGAACATGGACCACGTGAGGCTGAGGCGTAGCTGGGTCGATCAAGTTTATCATTCCTCTTTTAACTCTAAATCTAGAGGAGTGGCTATTCTTATCCATAAATCTGTCCCTTTTGTGCACTCTCAAACCATTTCTGACTCTTCTGGTAGATACATTATGGTCACTGGCACCATTTACAATGTCCCGGTGGCATTGGCTAATATATATGCGCCCAATTATGACAACGAAAACTTTTTTAAACATGTTTTCCAGACACTCCCCAATATGTCCACCTATCACTTAATATTGGGAGGTGATTTTAACTGCTGGCTTGACTCCCAGCTGGATCGCTCATCAACAAATATAACCGCGCCCTCACGCTCATCTAAAATTATTAACTCCTTTATGTCTGAATTTAATGTCTGCGATGCTTGGCGTTCTCTTCACCCTTCCCAAAAGGTTTACTCGTTTTTTTCCTCAGTCCACCACACTTTTACACGTATTGATTTTTTTTTGACTGATAATAGATTGCTGCCCTCTCTCAATGGGTGCAAATATGATGCTATTGTTTTATCGGACCACGCTCCTGTTTCTATAAACATCAGATTTGACTCTCGCCCCGTTGAGCGGCCACCATGGAGGCTGAGCACCCGTTTGCTATCAAACGAAAAATTTGTATCTTTTGTGACACAACAGATAGATTTTTTTTTAGAAACTAATAGAAGACCTGGGGTTTCTGCCTCACTACTCTGGGAGACACTTAAAGCCTTCATCAGAGGGGAGATTATCTCCTACGTAAAGTATGAAAATAAGTTACAAAAAGAGAGAATTACTACTTTAACACGCCATATTTCCCAAATTGACAACTTGTATGCGATATCACCCTCACCCTCTTTGTACAAGGATCGTCTTGTGTTGCAAGCTGAGTTAGATGTGCTCATGACAAAACATACTACTGAACTGCTAATTCTGTCGGGTGCCCAGTTTTACGAACATGGAGATAAAGCTGGTAAACTTTTAGCTCACCAAATCCAATGGGTGTCAGCCTCTCGTCACATCGCTCAGATCCAAACAGCCCAAGGCTTGACGTCTGACCCATCCGAAATAAATTTAACCTTTAAAGACTTTTATAGTTCATTATACACCTCAGAATGTACTCCTTCTATAACTGATTTTGAAAACTTTTTTAATGAGTTGAAAGTCCCTACCATTAATCAGGATGTAGCTGACGGTCTTGAGAAGCCTATTGCCATCTCTGAACTCACTGAAGCAGTTAGGGCCCTGCAGGGGGGCAAGTGCCCAGGCCCTGACGGATACCCCTGTGAGTTTTATAAAATATTTTGGGATAAGCTCTCCCCATTACTCTTAAATGTATACAATGAATCTTTGGCCTCTGGGTGTCTACCTCAGACTCTTAATCAGGCAGTTATTACTTTACTTGTGAAAAAACATAAAGACCCTCTACTTTGTTCTTCCTACCGCCCAATAAGTCTACTTAATGTTGACTTTAAGTTGCTAGCGAAAACATTAGCATTAAGACTGGAAAAAGTGTTACCCACGGTGGTTGGGATAGATCAGACTGGCTTTGTACAAAATAGGAATTCCTTTTCTAACATAAGACAACTCTTTAATGTAATATATAGTCAACCCTCCGTTAGTACCGAAGAAGTTGTGATATCTATGGATGCCGAAAAGGCCTTTGACAGAGTTGAGTGGCCATATTTATTCTACTCGATTGAGAAATTTGGTTTCGGAAGAAAGTTTCTGTCTTGGATTAAATTACTTTATTCTGACCCTCATGCATCAATTAGGACAAATAATAGTCAGTCTGACTACTTTCGCCTCAATCGCTCTACGCGCCAGGGCTGCCCGCTGAGTCCCTTACTATTTGCTTTGGCAATTGAACCCCTTGCAATTGCGCTTAGATGTAATGCAAGTATCATAGGTATTAAGAGAAATGGTATTGGAACAAAGGTCTCTTTATATGCTGATGATCTTCTCCTGTATATTTCAAATTTGAGTACATCTATTCCTGCTATACTTGCCACACTTGTCAAATTTGGGAATCTGTCAGGCTATAAATTAAATCTCAGCAAAAGCGAATTATTCCCAGTTAATGTTTTGGCTAAGAACTACCCACTGCGTACATTACCTTTTAAGGTAATAGATCAGAGTTTTACCTATTTAGGAATCCAGATTACATCTAAATATAAGGATCTTTTTAAAGCTAACTTCTCCCCCTTATTATTGCGTGTTAAGGAAGATTTTGATCGTTGGTCAATGCTTGGCCTCTCTTTGGTTGCTCGGGTTAATTCAATCAAAATGAACATCCTCCCACGTTTTTCCTACCTATTTCAGTGCATACCTATTTTTCTTTCACGGTCCTTTTTCAATAAACTTAATAGTATAATTATTAAATTTCTTTGGAATGGGAAGGCCTCTCGTATACGCACTGAAATCTTACAAAGACCTAAAAAGCTTGGGGGGATGGCCTTGCCAAACTTTAGATATTACTATTGGGCTTCAAACATTAGACTTTTTAGATACTGGCTCCGGTCAGATAGCCCTTCCTCTCCAGCTTGGCTTAATATAGAGGCAAATTCTGTAAAACCTGTGTCCTTGGCAGCCTTACTACATTCACCATTGCAATCTTCAACTAATCTTTATACCTCCAATAAAATAGTTGACGCATCCTTAAGACTGTGGAGGCAATTTAGGCGGCATTTTGGTCTGCAATCTCTTTCTGTCTATGCCCCTATAGCCCTGAATCATACCTTCCCGCCGTCCCTCGCAGATGATACTTTCTTGTCATGGCGGAGAAAAGGAATTTCAACCTTTTACGATCTGTATATTGATAATACTTTCGCCTCATTCCAACAAATCTCCGAGAAATTTGATATCCCGCGATGTCAGTTTTTTAGATATTTACAAGCGCGCAGTTTTGTCCGTTCTACTTATTCAAATTTTCCCAACCTTCCCGGGGATTCTCCTTTAGACACTTTTCTGAAACCTATTGTCAAACTGAAGGGGGCCATTTCTCTTATTTACAATCAAATTACGCTTTTGCGTCCACACACCCTGAACTCCCTTAGATCACTTTGGGAGGAAGATCTTGGACGGGACATTTCAGAGGATCTCTGGACACTTATCTTGTCATTGGTACACAAGTCCTCTATTTGTGCCAGACATAATCTAATTCAGTGCAAACTTGTGTATCGCACTTATTATACTAAAGCACGTCTAGCCAAGTTCTACCCCAGCGTTACTCCAGCCTGTGATAGATGCCAACATTCCCCAGCCAATTTGATCCACACCATCTGGCTCTGTCCTCAGCTCTCTAATTATTGGTCTAAAGTTTTTGTTATTCTATCGGATGTTTTTGGTGTAAAATTTGAGCTTTGTCCCCTGATTGCGTTGTTTGGGGTTGCACCTCCACAGCCCATCTTGTCCTCTCTTCAGAGGTCCTCCTTGGCTTTCCTGACCTTTCTGGCTCGGAGAGTGATTATAATGAAATGGAAGTCGCCTCAACCCCCATCATACATCCACTGGCTTCGAGACACATTGTATTTTATTAAACTTGAGAAGATCCGTTTTACCTTAAGAGGCTCCTCCGCAAGATTTTTGGGTTTGTGGAGTCCCTTGTTAAAAGCCCTTAGGAAGATTGATTTCCCTAATATTCCAGACTGATAAAGTTGCATGTATGTAGCTGATGTTTATTATTGTCATCTATTTTTTCTTTTGTCTTCTCCTTTGAGTTAAGTCTGTCTGATTTATCAACAGTGGGGTCTCCTGGCACCTGAGAAGTTTTTCTTTTCTCTTTTTTATTTTTTATTTTTATTTTTTTTTTATTTTTTTATTTTTTTTTTATTTTTTTTATTTATTTTTTTTTTTCGTATGTACGGACTGAGGGAAAACATTTACATAATTTTAACACTGTGGACCTTTTTACTTCTACCAACTTATTTTATTTATTTTTTTTAATATATATATATCTGTCCCCAGTATTTCTTTGTGCTTGCTTTGATTTGATCATTTGCTTATTTCTTTATCTATTCTTTTTTTTTTTTTTTGTGTATTGAGTGTGTGTTTGTATGTGGGTTTATTTGGGTTTGTTCTAGCCCAATTATGTTTGTATGCTAAAGGTACTTTACTAACTGTATAACTGTTGCTCCATCTGTACATTGTGCCACATGTAAAAACATAAATAAACGTGGGAAAAAAAAAAAAAAAATAAAGTGTTTTATAATGTTTTTTTGTTGTCGTTGTTGGCACTCATATAAATATACTGGTGTGCTAACTTTGTATACCTTTGATTGGTTTTTGGTATACATCTATTTTGAATTTATAGCCCCCCCCAGGAGAAAACACAACCAGCTGCCACTGGATCCTGTGCCTGTTGCTGAATGTGTCGGTGAGAGCAGGTGATTTAATCACACCTTGCACGAAAAAACGGGAAGGTTTGGTGAAGACCTACCTGTGACGTTGACATAGACGGTGGTGAAGGCAGCTAATGGTACGGCCGCCACATTCTGGGCCCGAACCCGCAGAATAAAGTTCCTGGTGGTTTCATAGTCAAGCGGTTCGGCAACCAAGATGGAGGCGGAGCCATCCTCGCGATTGGGAGTCAGGTAGAAGCGAACAGGCATGTTAGTCTCTGGGACCATCCCATCCTCCAGGTTATAGGTGACCCGTGGATCTCCCAGAGGAGACGTGGCTTTGATCTTCTGTAGGAACCAATACACAAGGAAAGGGGGTAGAAAGCAGCTCAGAAAAACCATCAGGAATGAACAGATTGACATGTTTTAATCCCTGATCCTAAATATCAAGGTTATCCTTTTTTCATGTCAGTCTGTGAGGACAGAGGTCTCCAGATGCTGACATGATTGTAAGTCTACAACTGCAGTCTGCAGCGGTATCGCACTCAGGTCCTACTAAGGTCCCCAAAGGTCACTGGGTGGCCCAGATTTATAAACAGCTCCCTGAGATCTTCTATGTCAGAGCTGGACGGCAGGGTCCAAATAATAAACAAAAAACAGAAACACTGGGAAGCTCAGGTTTTATATCCTGGCCTGCCAACCTGACTTACATGGAGGCAGGGGTTTAGGCCTGTACCACAATTACCCATAATGCAACAGGACTTTACTGTAGCCAGAACAGTCAAGCCTGCTGCCAACTTTTTAATGATGATGAGCAGAAAGTATCCTTAGAGTTACGGCTTTAGAGCGTCTCTTTTTGAAAACAACTTTTCCTGCCACATCCATCTGATTGGTTCTGACTCGTTTCAGCTAACTCTGTTAGTAACGCCTTCAAAATGTGACTGCACAATAAAATGATCACTAAATATCTGAAAACAGTCGCATTGAGGTTTTAAAGGAAAAGCTCATATTCAGAATTCAAACTTCTGAAAGTAATTGAAATATGAAATTATTACATACTGTTTAATAAATGATACGTGTTTTGAATTAAGAGTAACTTTCATTTTTTTCAATTCAATTCAGTTTATTTATATAGCGCCAATTCACAGCACATGTCATTTCAATGCACTTTACAATTCACCAGATCAAACAATCAAATCGATTCAAAGTTTTCTATCTAAGTAAAACCAGCTGACTGCATCGATTCATTGACTTAAATATAATCCCTCACACTAAGCATTTTTGTAGCAACAGTGGAGAGGAAAAACTCCCTTTTAACAAGAAGAAACCTCCAGCAGAACCAGGTTCAGTGTGAGCGGCCATCTGCTGAGGCTGACTGAAGTTCAAAGAGACAGAAGCACAGACACAAAAAGCAATGTGCTTTACTGGAGGCATCCATGTTTGTCAAAGAACACTACTGCCACCTACCTGTTTGTGACGTCACGGTGCAGTATCGGCTGTTGATCAAGTCACAGTGCTGTATCTGGTGTTTGTCACAACGTGCTATTATCCAAGTCATCTTGAAAACATTCTTCTTCCAAATGTTGGCTATATATTACGTTTTTTTTTTCCTCTGGCCAGAAGTTTGATGGCAAATCCTCCCTCTTCAAGTTGGCAATCCAAAGACGAACCCGTCCGTGGAGGATCAGGAATCAGAAAGGTGAAATAACTAATTGTTTTTTCACTTTATTCCAACATCCAACATGCCATGCACATGGGCATTGTCAGTTTCACTATAGCTCTGGTGAATTTCAATGGTGAAGTCCTCTGGAAATCTTCAATAATTGTTGTTGATTGCAGATGTGTCTAGTAGTTCCCATTGATTTTGCTTGTAAAGCGGGGAGAATGGCGCTAGGCTTACCGCACCGTGACGTCACTGCCGGAAGATGGCAGGAGTGACATGTTACTATATTTAGGCAAAAATGGCCGCTCCCAGTCTCAGTGAATGGAACGAAAATTAAGTTCATTAAATCACCTTAAACGTATTAGTTTTAGGTATGAATAATGATCCACTGAATATTCCTCTCTGACCGGACTTTTCCTTTAAAGAACACTGAGGAAAAACAGAGTCACATGGAAAAGTCCTGCATTTGATTTAATTATGTCTAATTTTTACCTTTTACTCTATTATTGTATTTATCAATGCACACTGAAATTTTGCTTCTGTCTCCTTGAACCCCAGTCTGCCTCAGCAGATGGCCGCTCACACTGAGCCTGGTTCTGCTGGAGGTTTCTTCCTGTTAAAAGGGAGTTTTTCCTCTCCACTGTTGCTACAAGCATGCTTGGTGTGAGGGATTGCCTTCAAGTCAATGAGTCAATGCAATCAACTGGTTTTCCTTAGATCGAAAACTTTGAATCAATTTGACTGAATGATCTGGTGAACTGTAAATTGCCTAGAGATGACATATGTTGTGAATTGGTGCTATAGAATTAAACTGAATTTAATTGAAATTGGAAACTGGAAATAAACTAAGCTAGTGCAGGTAATTACTTTCAGAAGAAGAAGATGATGCAGTGAAATTAGGAGACAGTAAACAGCCCCACCAGAACTGCAATGAGAATATAATGAGTTTATAGGTGTGTGAATGATTATCTGATGATTACAGCAATTAATACAATTGAAAAAGGATCAGTTTTTGCTCAGGCCAAATGGAGGCTTTGGTCGGCCATGATCTGCAGCTCTATGCTGCTTTTCATCCAAAAGATTAATTACCAGGTTTGAAAGCAAAATAAAAACTGCCGAAATGCAAATCAAGTCTCTTCATTTACAATCATCAGTGGAAAAGAAAATGTTACATAAGGGACGTTTACCAAACAAGCAGGTCCAATTTATAAGCACAAATATTTAAATGGATGAAGTAATTTAGGCCACATTCCCATTCAGTCCTATTAAGAATTAAATGAAGTTATATTCAGTTTTAGAGGCATTTGGAAAAACGTTTCCTAACAAAGTCTAGCTGATTGCATTTAATGAGTTACTTTGCAGCAATCTCTTCTGATTGTCGATGCTACTGATGTTACAGAAAAAACGGCACTGAATTGTACATCAGAGGCAAGTTTTCCATAGAAAGAGCAAAGGAAAGCTCGAAGCTGTCCAGATTGGACAGCAGTGAACCGATATCTTGTGGGATCAAACAGAGATGCTCCAATTTCAAATGTAGTTTTCAACCCAAACTAATTGAGGATGAGGCTATGCAGCAGCTGATGCTGCATACTAGCAATTAAAATTAAGAGAGCCTTCTTGGGATTGATGCAGCTTGCGGATAGGTGCCCTACATGCATCCTTACAACCTGGGAAAGAGATATGGCGGCAGTAATGAGACACCCTGTCAAGCAAATGTGTCAGATGCACTCAGTGTGCTTATTTAGGCTGTAAAGACTTGAAATGTCCGAGGCAGAGAAATCACAACCAGCTGAGAGTCATTGCATCTTTGCATAAGAGCCAAATAAACTGTGAGCTGCAAGCGTGGATGAATTCACAGCCCTGCTGGGACCATCCTGTCTTTATTAGCATTGCTCGCCAACTCACCAAAGGGCCCCGTCTTCCCATATAAACCACCTTTCTGCTACTTTCTGATCATCTCAAGAGTTAAAACATTTATCAGATACTCTAATGGATGCTGCTTCTATCAGGAGAGTCTCATTAAAAATGTCTTCGGCTGTGAAACAGCAGCAAGGCCTATGAGGGTCTGAGTGTGTTGGGGGGGTACATCTAAATGTGAATATACACCCAGCACGTTACGGCACGTAAGTGCAGCAGAGCGGCATATACGTGCAAAAGGCATAGGTAACATGCCTGGGTGTTTTCAATTTCAATATGAAATTGTTACATACTGTTCAATAAATGATAAGTGTTTTTAATTAAGAGTAATTTTCATTTGAATGTGCTTTATCGGCTGTTGATCAAGTCCCAGTGCTGTATCTGTTGTTTGTCACAAAGTGCGATTATCCAAGTCATCTTGAAAACATTCTTCTTTTCTCTGGCCAGTAGTTCGATGGAAAATTCTCCAACCACGAACCCGTCCGTGGAGGATCAGAATTCGGAAAGGTGAAATAACAATTTTTTTTCACTTTTACCCAATGTATTCCAACATCCAACTGCCATGCACGTGGGCATTGTCAGTTTCACTATAGCTCTGGTGAATTTCAATGGTGAAGTCCTCTGGAAATCTTCAATAATTGTTGTTGATTGCAGATGTGTCTAGTAGTTCCCATTGATTTTGCTTGTAAAGCGGGGAGAATGGCGCTAGGCTTACCGCACCGTGACGTCACTGCCGGAAGATGGCAGAAGGGAGGTGTTACTAAATTTGGGTAAAAATGACCGCTTCCAGACTCAGTTATAGACGATAATGATTGTTTTTATTTTTTTACTAATTAACGATAAATTCATGAAATCATCGCAAACATATTAGTTTTAGTTATAGATAAAGATCCATTGATTATTCCTTGCTGACCGGACTTTTCCTTTACTGTCCTGCTGTTGCAAACATGCTGGAATCTACTTCTATGTTTCTTCCTACATTTGGTTAATGTTAGCAGATGTTGCTATCGATGGTGGAACATCTACATAGCAACGTACCACGATGGCCGTGTCTCGAACAGTGTTTTCTGGGATGACCACTCTGTAGGTATCGTTTTCCCACTGTGGCGGCTGGTTCTTCACGTTGGTGATGGTGACGGCCAGCTCCACTGAACTGCTCCTGTTTCCTCCGTCTGTTGCTACAATCTCCCTGGTGATGTATGTCCTCTGTGGTAGGAAGAGGAGATAAAGATGAAGGACAGGACAAAGTCGTAACATAATGTTGGGAACTACAGGGTGCCGAATACCATAGATATATAACACCCAGATTCAAACTTACATGCTTTGCTTTTTCTATAACAGCTCTATAAAACCAATCCCCCAAACAGCTGACATAATTTAGACGTTTTAGGCACGATCTAGTCGGTCCATTATAGTCTTGATTTGGTCCAAAAATCCTTGTTGAAATTTGGGCTCTGTTTGGTCGATCTGATTTTGTCTCACTCTATGCCGGGCTTACATATTTTTTTGCCCGTTTTGAGCCGATTATCCAGTCGTGCGAGAATTTTTTGATCGGGCCGAATTTTAGCCTTATTGTGCGTCCTGTGTCGTGTAGTATACAGGGGGTAACTAAGGGCGATCAGCCTCACACAACCAGCTCCCGAACAAGAATCGTAAAGTCGGGATAAAATCAAACGTGTTTGAAATTCAGCTGGGAGAGCTCGTGAGGTGTTCGTTGACAATTCCTACTGTTGAAGCAGAGCAACGAGCCGATTTACCAGAAACTCGCACACTGTGCATGCGCAAACAAGGAAGTGGAGCAGAGCGCTCAGTCAGACGTGTGGTTTTTGGTCATACAGCTTGAGCAGGTAGATCACATCAGAGCGTCTGGCCGCACAGGCTTAACATACATCTTTAGCTGTGAATTCTTAAACCCTGCTGTTTTGTCGTACAGTTTGAGTAGTAGCTGAGTAAAAACGATTAAAAATATCACACAATGCGAGTCCGGCTTTAGTCTAATAGTTGCAAAACCACTTTGCAATGCCTTTTTCGTTGATCTGAAAATTAGAGCTTTTCACCTTAAATTTTCATCTGCAGCCCTCTGAGGGATCTTAGGAGGCCCTTGATCACAGTTCAAAAATAGTTTAAACCCTTCAAACCATAAGCCCATTTTCTCTAAATATACGCCCCAGTTAAGACGGGTCTATCTCTCCAAACACAAGGTTTAGCTCAGTAAATCTGGTTTAAAATGAAAGAAAACACCTGTGGTATTTACGAAGATGTGTAATTATTAGGATATGTGTTACTGATGCAGAGTAAGGGAAGATGGCAGTGCAACATTTCAAACCTGGCCTAAAAGAAAACCCTTTTAGCATCATCTTGACATTTTTGACCCTCATGGCGAAACATTTGAAGAACATTAAAATAAAGTAGGTGTTGGGCAGAGCCTTAGAGTGCTGCAGATACAAATGAATCATCCTCTGGTTCTTGAGAGACGAGCTGTGGAGAATGAAAATTATTACATGGATGTTTTTCTCTGTCTTGATCTAAACAGGATTGATTTTCTTTATCCTTGCAAAGAGATCCTCCTCTGATGATGCGGCTGTGGTTGAACTAAAACAGCAATAAAGAAGTATTACAGAAACATTTGTATTTTGCATCAAATTACAAAAATCTTTCATGTGGCAAACTAAATTTTACTTTTGTCTTCTTACGTGTTTTTTACTGTGAATAGAGACGATTGAAGGAGCTTCTGATCCACATTGAGCTACAGCATGTTTCACTTATTGTTTTCATTCATTACTCACAGATTGCTTTACTTGCAGAGCAGCATGTGGCCTCTATTTCTGTATGATCTGCCTGAACTCTTTTTGCACCCACCTGTGAGATAGGCTGGTTTACGTAGACCCAGCCTGTCAGCGGACTGACCCGGAGGTATTCCGGCGGCTCCCCAGACATGCTATACGTGATTGCTGCATTGGTACCGAAGTCATCGTCATGAGCCGCCACCCGCAGGAAGCTGTTCCCGATCATGGTGTCCTCACGGAGGAAGTCTGAGGAAATAAAGCTTAAATTCGGTTCTGACCTCATTTACACTGGAAGGTTGATTTTCCATTTTTAAGCTTCTGTCCTTCTCAGGCAATCAAAAAAAAATTCTTTATCAATAATAAACTGAGTAAGAATAAAAACTTTTGAACATAAAGGTGCATCTGTGTTTAAAAGTCAGACATATGTTCCTAACAGAGCACTTTGCTCTCAATTGGCAGGTTTACTAGTGGTTCCCAGAATTTTTTAAAAATAGAATAGAGCTCCTCTCCTGTGGAACCAACTACCAGTTTTAGTCCGTGAGGCAGACACCCTGTCTACTTTTAAGGCTAGGCTTAAAACTTTCCTTTTTGATAAAGCTTATAGTTAGAGTGGCTCAGGTTATCCTGAGCTATCTCTATAGTTATGCTGCTATAGGCTTAGACTGCTGGAGGACGGAGGGACCCCTTTTTTCATCATTCTGCTTCATTCTATCTCTATTCTCTCACTCTACAGAATCTATTATTTCAATATCTGACGTTCTGCTCTCTCTGATTTTCCTCATAGTAGCTTCATCTGGTCTTTTCCTGTTTGGCTGTGACTAAATCCTGGAGACAAAATATCAGCTGTGCTGCTGCCAGCAACACCTTTGTTTGTAGATGTTGGAGATCAGCCTGTCTTTCAGTGTAGTGTAGTCAGTGTAGTCCTGTTTCTGATTGTGACTTAATGGACGTGCTCTCCTCATCCTCTAACACAGCTGGTGGCTCGGAGCTCGTCTGTCTGGCTGTGTTCTTCCTGGACGGGGCCGCCTGTGGAGCTGGTTTACAGTTGCCTTTTGTGTCTCTGCTTCTTTTTCTATGTCTGCTTCTGTCTCCTTGAACCCCAGTCACCCTCAGCAAATGCAGATGGTTTTCCATCGATAGAAAACTGAATCATTTTGACTGGATGATCTGGTGAACTGTAAAGTGCCTCGAGATGACGTGTTGTGAATTAGCGCTATAGAAATAAACTGAACTGAATTAAATTGAATTAACAAATTAATTTATTGCCATCAGTGAAATGACTGAGTTAGCTGGTAATAACGGTTTGACATCTAAGAAGTCTGACTTTACCATGTCTGCCAAAAATTTGAGGTACAGCACTTACCAAAAATCTCTATAAAGTTTTTCTTGTTACCTAGTAATATAGTGTAACTTGCTATGTTATTACCATGGTATAATGAGGTTATTGATGTACTGTAAAAGAAAAGTAGGTAAGATGGTTTGTCAATGGAATTGAGTATTTTTACTCTTGAAATAAGATAATATTATGCACTTGAAATAAGACAATAGAATTGTTCTTTTTCGTATTTTGAAAGTAAATTGTCTTTTTCCATTGGCAAACTGTCTCACTTAAAGAATAAATGTACTTATGTTAAAATAAAATTACTTATTTTCATGTATTTGCAGTGTAGGGAACCTTTACAGTGTAGGGATGGATAAGTGATGAACTACAAACTGCACTGGAGAAACAATCTAGAAATAACTAAACATTTCTTAACTTAAATGAATTCATCTTTAATTTGAGTAGGGAAATGAGATAGTTGGCCAATGGAATTCGTTTTTTTTACTCTTAGAATAACATATTTAGATAATATGTACTTTAAGTAAGACAATGCAATTGTGTTTTCTTATTTTAAGTATAAATTGTCTTGTTCCATTGGCCAAGTGTCTCTTTTACCTCCTCAATCCAAGAAAAAATTTTCTTATTTTAAGAAAAAATGACTTATCTAGATTTAAATTTTTTTCCATTGTGTTCACAAACTTTTCAACTGAAGAATAAAAATACCTCCAGGAACCATAGTGATAAGAGCAGCATCAGTTACTCATTTATCTGCTTCTAAATATCTATGTGATGTTGTTCTATCTTAAAACTTTCTAGCTTAATTTCTGTGGAGGAGCTGAGGCTGGTCAATGCTCCGTCCCCCCAGACAAGGCCATGTTTGTCTGTTAAATAATCAGAAACATTAGAAGCTGTCATGGGGAAGCAGCCATCTATGTCTTTAGAAGGTGGTGAAACTTTATGCCCTGAAGTAGAACATCAGCCACAGCAGCTTCTTACATTCATATCGTAGGTTCTCAAACTTCGGGCTGTTGTCGTTCTGGTCCAGGATGAGAATATTGAGCTGACAGATGCCAATCAGTGGGTCGGCTGCCTGGTCGGTAGCCGTCACCGTCACTGCGTATTCACGCTGGCGCTCACGGTCAAATTTTCTGGCAGTCACGATTACACCTGGGAATAAAGAACATGATTCTGAGAGGACTTACACCAGAGATCTGGAGCCTAAGCTGTTGCTGATTCATGCATGATCAAAATGCTGATGACACCGCATGTTTGCATACCAGTATCAGGGTGGATGCTGAACGCAGGAACCGTAGAGTCTTTATGCATGAAGCCGTAGGTGACCCTGCCATTGGAGCCTTCGTCTGCATCCACAGCATGGACCTGGAGGACAAAGGTCCCCGCTGGTTGGTTCTCCAGCACAGACGTGCTCTCACGGTACTCCTGACACTGAGACCAACCAGAGCAGCAGAGAGAACAGGTGGAGATCATGGCAGCAGAAGAAAAAAAAATCCAATGTATTAAACGAAGATATTGTATGTGATGAAAGGGCAAAAGGAGGGGATTGGAAAATGTGTTTAATTAATCTATTTAATAACGATTGGTCTGTTTTTCATTGTAGTCCTGTTTCTCTGACTGTGACTGTCTGGATGTGCTCTCTTCATCCTCTGACATGGGAGCTGGCTCAGAGCTCATCTGCCTGGCTGTGTGTTTCCTGGATGGAGCTGCCTGTGGAGCTGGTTTACAGTTGCCTTTTGTATCTCTGCTTTTTTTTTTTCAATGTTTGCTTTTGTTTCTTTGAACCCCTGTCCGCCTCGGGAGATGGCTGCTCACTCTCAGCCTGGTTTTGCTGGGGGTTTCTTCCAGTTAAAAGGAAGTTTTTTTCTCTCCACTGTCGCTACAAGCATGCTTAGTGTGAGAGATTGCTGAAGAGTCAACAGAAAACTTTGAATCAATCTGACTGGATGATCTGGTGAACTGTAAAATGCCTTGAGATGACATCATGTGTTGTGAATTGGTGCTATACACTCACCGGCCACTTTATTAGGTACCCCATGCTAGTAATGGGTTGGACCCCCTTTTGCCTTCAGAACTGCCTCAATTCTTCGTGGCATAGATTCAACAAGGTGCTGGAAGCATTCCTCAGGGAGTTTGGTCCATATTGACATGATGGCATCACACAGTTGCAGCAGATTTGTCGGCTGCACATCCATGATGTTCAACCACATCCCAAAGATGCTCTATTGGATTGAGATCAGGTGACTATAGAGGCCATTTGAGTACAGTGAACTCATTGTCATGTTCAAGAAACCAGTCAGAGATGATTCCAGCTTTATGACATGGCGCATTATCCTGCTAAGAGTAGCCATCAGAAGTTGGGTACATTGTGGTCATAAAGGGATGGACATGGCCAGCAACAATATTCAGGTAGGCTGTGGCGTTGCAACGATGCTCAATTGGTACCAAGGGGCCCAAAGAGGGCCAAGAAAATATTCCCCACACCATGACACCACCACCACCAGCCTGAACCGTCGATACAAGGCAGGATGGATTCATGCTTTCATGTTGTAGACGCCAAATTCTGACCCTACCATCCGAATGTTGCAGCAGAAATCGAGACTCATCAGACCATGCAACGTTTTTCTAATCTTCTATTGTCCAATTTCGATGAGCTTTTGCAAATTGTAGCCTCAGTTTCTTGTTCTTAGCTGAAAGGAGTGGCACCCGGTGTGGTCTTCTGCTGCTGTAGCCCATCTGCCTCAAAGTTCGACGTACTGTGCGTTCAGAGATGCTCTTCTGCCCACCTTGGTTGTAACGGGTGGTTATTTGAGTCACTGTTGCCCTTCTATCAGCTCGAACCAGTCTGGCCATTCTCCTCTGACCTCTGGCATCAACAAGGCATTTCCGCCCACAGAACTGCCACTCACTGGATGTTTTTTCTTTTACGGACCATTCTCTGTAAACCCTAGAGATGGTTGTGTGTGAAAATCCCAGTAGATCAGCAGTTTCTGAAATACTCAGACCAGCCCTTCTGGCACCAACAATCATGCCACGTTCAAAGTCACTCAAATCACCTTTCTTCCCCATAGTGATGCTCGGTTTGAACTGCAGGAGATTGTCTTGACCATGTCTACATGCCTAAATGCACTGAGTTGCCGCCATGTGATTGGCTGCTTAGAAATTAAGTGTTAACGAGCAGTTGAACAGGTGTACCTAATAAAGTGGCCGGTGAGTGTATAAATAAACTGAATTGAATTTCATTGAATTTAACAGGAATGATCAAAAAAAAAAAAAATTATATATATATATATATATATATATATATATATATATATATATATATATATATATATATATATATATATACTTCCTTCAGGTTATTATGACAACATTGAAACCAAATGATTCTGCACCAATATGAGGAGTGGCTAGAAAACATTTGAGTTCAGGTGAATGTTTGAGAGCAGGGGTGTCAAACTGGTTCCAGAAAGGTCCGTGTGGCTGCAGGTTTTCTTTCCAACCAAGCAATAGCACACCAGACTCCAGTCATCTCATCAAGTGAGTCCAGTCTTGAGTTAGTCAACATGATGACTTAATGAGATGAATGGAGTCTGGTGTGCTATTGCTTGGTTGGAAAGAAAACCTGCAGCCACATGGCCCTTTCTGGAATCAGTTTGACATCCCTGTTTTACAGCGTTAATGAAGCAAAGGATCTCAGAAGGAAGGAGGAGCTTCCTGCTTTCTGTCTGAACAACTGAGGTCTTTGAGGTAGTTTGTTCAATCTTTTTAGCCAGGTCTCCCTTTAAAAAGAGACTATCGATCTCAACAGAGACTTTACTGTTTAAAAACGTATAATAAAGAATAAAGTTATAATTAAAAAAAAGTTACAAATGAATAATACTAAAAGGAAAAAAACCTAAATCATTAAAACCTTGAATCCTGATGTTCTGATATTGATCCGTGCGGAAAGTTTGCTCAGGCGATAGGGTGAGGAGCAGAAGAGACACACCCTGCTGCTCAGTGGAAAAGCCTGAGAATACCAAGCAGACGTGTTGATATGGAGGATATGGATTGGTCTCAATATTCACAAATACACATATGTGATTCATACATGCACAGAACAAGATTCACCAGACTATTTCAGGTCAATAAAAGTAAATGACATTAAAATGAATTACAAAGTACCAGTGGCCTTTAAACTTCACTGCATTTGTCTGTTGGTTTTTGCCTGGATACACAAATGTGTTTTTTTAAGCAGGCAATGGTTTTCCACCATTCACAAAGCTCCCTTTTATAAGCCAATCACAAGAAAGTACTTGATGACTAACAACCAGATTCCACATCCTCCCCGCTCCGCTCCAGACCGCCTTCCCAAAGCAAAGCCTACATCCTCCACAGCTCCTCCCGTTTTGCTCTGCTCCGACGTCTTCAGAGCTCAAGGAGAGCATGCTTAAAGTTGTAGGGAAGTCATATTTAAATTTCAAATCGTTCGTTTTTTTTTTGTTTTTTTCATTATCTTATGCAGGCCATTTAATTATATATACGCAACGGTTAAAATAAGAAGTAAGAATCGTTTCCTTTCTCACTGAGCTCCATCCCAGTGTTCACGGGGATGGACATCTGTGTCTTCAGCAGGCGTAGAGTTAAAAGAACTGGCAGCATTGGGAGGCAAGGGCTCAAACATGTACGGCTGGAAGCCTTCTACACCAAACCAAGCTTCGGACCTGCAACCGTTGGAACAGCCGCTTCCCTACGACTTAAAAAAAAAATGCATTTGTCTATGAAGGCACCTCAGGGCAGTCTCAAATATCAACACACAAATGCAGTGAACTTTAAAGACTACTAATTTAATTTATAATCGTTTATAGATCAGAAATGTTGAATCTTGTCCTGTGCATGTATGACTTACATATGTGTGTTTGGGAAAATTTAGACCAACCTAGCTCCATATATTTAGATCATCACTAAACATGGAGACAGGCTTAAAAAATCTGAGGTAATCAGACACATCTGAAGTCCTGGATTTCCAGCCCTTCGATGCCCTTTTCCTCAGACCGGATCAAACACTGAAATGATTTATTATTTCAGCAGTGCTGGTATTTCTGCTGCTGCTGCTCTCATGTTTCTCTTTGCTCTTGTTTTTTGGGCTTTGATTGAAGTATTGACGTCTGACTCACTTCAGGGAAGACATTTAGCCCTTTAATGCCTCCTCACAGCACCGCCTAGTTTTCAGATCATCCATGTTCCCTTTAGTTCCTCCCTCTTCACAAACCAGCAGTCAGCTCTGGCGAATTAAAGGAAGTAATGACGCCTCGCTGCCCGAACACAATTAACCAGAAGGGTCGCAGGAAGTTCAATGCGTGACAAATGGTTTGTTAATGTGAAACTAATTGTTCACAGGTTATTTGGAGCAAACGTTTTACATGGAGGAAAACAAGCGAAAAACACCAAAGAGATGAGGTGAGCGGGTCACCAAGCGAGTGGAAGGAATCAGGGTGCTGCTCACAACTCTCTGCCTCCAAATTATTCAATTAAAGTAACTAATTATAACTGTTTGCTCAAAATGAGTTGTTACTAGTTTCATGGAGCCATAAATATTTGGGTGGAGTCATGGATGCTTGCCTCTCACTGATTTATCGTTTCTTCTTGATATTTATCTCCTCCCTCCCTTCCCTGAATCCCTCTGTCCAGGGATGAGACACCAGGATGCAGCAGCCATTAAAGCTCATGTTTACCATGACAACCATTTAAATCAGAGCATTTATATAGTGCAGATTTACAAAGTCTCAAGGTCCTTTTCAGAGACAACTGATTGCATCCAGTCATTAACGGAAAGACAGGAAAGTAACAATAACCTGCAATCCATCAGTTTGATCTTATCACAGATGTACTGAGGCTAGAATGTTCCTTCCCAGCATGAAAACAGTGAGTTTATCCAATATCATAGTTTTATGAAGCTTTTATTTTTAGGAGCCAGGCTCTATGCTAACATCAGGAAAACCAAATTGGTTTAAAAAAAATAGCAATTTTCCTGAATCGTGACGCTAATCCACCAGGTGTTCTACCTGCCTCTCACTTATTTGGTCCAGGCAGGAAACATACCTTCACTACAATGCATCTGTCTGCAGGTCTGAGCAACAGACACCCTTTTAATAGTGAATAATTATCTAATCTGAACACATTAAAAAGTGGGCTAAATGCACACACTGTCAGAGGAAGACCAAGCCAGGTCCTTATATGGACCAACACTGAGGACTAAAATATGTATTTGTTGCTACCAGGAATTAGAGCTTGGTCTAATGTTGATCCAACCTGACAGAATCAATAACTGAATCATTACGAGATGATTTTAGGTAGAGAATGGATGGAGGGTGAGGGAAGGTAAAGGTGGTGGCAACAAGTGTATCTGCTTCTTTTTCTATGTCTGCTTCTGTCTCCTTGAACCCCAGTCGGCCTCTGCAGATGGCCGCTCACACTGAGCCTGGTTCTGCTGGAGGCTTCTTCCTGTTTAAAGGTAGTTTCTCCTCTCCACTGTCGCTACAAGCATGCTTAGAGTGAGGGATTTCCTTTGAGTCAATGAGTTGATGCAATCAACTGGTTTTCCTTAGATAGAAAACTTTGAATCAATTTGACTGGATAATCTGATTGAATTGTAAAGTGCCTTAAGATGACGTGTTGTGACTGGGTGCCTTATAAATAAACTGAATTTAATTGAATTAACTCCTCCTAGCCAGTAAGTAGCACATTTGTACTGTTGTACTGTTCTGTACTGCTTGCCCGCTATTACCGATGTCACTACCCGATCCGTACGATCGGCTTATTTGCGTAAGCAATTATTAATCCGGGTTAACATAAAATTTTTTATTATGGTGCTATAAATACACATTTATATCCTTAAGTCACTAAAGAATGCTAATACACATCTTTAAAACCTCTTCTCCTTATCCGTTAAACTGCTTGTCTGACATCACCATTGGACATGATAAGAGTAGTTGGGCAAAATATGATTAAACAATGTTTATCTGCATTTTAGTTATTTCTTTCTTTACATAACACACTATACAGCATGCAGTTAACAGAAAGAGAAAAAAATGAAACTTGAAAAGACTAGATTTATGTTTAAATCCAAAGCTAAAAACTTTTTATCCTGAAAGTAGCATAGGATCCGATAGCGTAGGATCCCAAGCTCCCGCGACAGGGATTTCTAGGCAGGAAGGACGTTTTTACCATTTATCTTTCCACCAAAACCCACCATCCATCCATCCATCCATCCATTCATCCATCCATCCATCCATCCATCCATCCATCCATCCATCCATCCATCCATCCATCCATCCATCCATAATCCATCCATCCATCCATCCATGAATCCATCCATCCATCCATCCATCCATCCATGATCCATCCATCCATCCATCCATCCATCCATCCATGATGTATCCATCCATCCATGATGCATCCATCCATCCATCCATCCATCCATCCATCCATCCATCCATCCATCCATCCATCCATCCATCCATCCATCCATGATGTATCCATCCATCCATGATGCATCCATCCATCCATCCATCCATCCATCCATCCATCCATCCATAATCCATCCATCCATCCATCCATCCATCCATGATCCATCCATCCATCCATCCATCCATCCATCCATCCATCCATCCATCCATCCATCCATCCATCCTGACTTAACTCTACTGACTGAATTTAGTCAAAAATAGTCAATAACATTCCAACAAACTTCAAAATTGTTGAAGTTGTAATAATAAAAGGTTATGGAATCTAAATACATAGATATTGTTTCTCAGCAAACCAACCCTTCTGGGATTTCTGTTTGTGAAATCCATCTGTGATTGCTTCCCATGTCCACCACATTATTTTCTATGACATAAAATCCCATGGAAATACATTCCTGGTTGTAAGTTGACAAAATGTAAAATCCACCTTAAATTCTGCTTTTTGCATTTAATCTCATCATTTTTAAAAACTATTTCCATTCAGTTTCTATCCCTGTTTACCATTAGTTGTATTTTATATGCTGTTTTCTTTGAAGATGCTTTTCTGAGGTACCAGGAGATCATTTGTCTGTTTTAATAACATTAGAATGATTCATTGCTGAAAGAGGAATAAACAGCAGAAGACCCCAGAGAGAAATTTGGGCATAAAGTTCAGATATGCAGTGTTTTGAGCAACAATAATGCAGGTAGCAATAAGCTTTTGCAATGCCATCCATTCGCCTTTGAATTAGTGAAAGTTATTGGTTTATCTTTACATTTTGGTCCTTTTTCCCTAAACCCAAAGAAAACAGCCCTGATCCAAAGCAGCCTATTAATCATGGGATTTATTAGCAGTTAAAAATCATGACTTGTTTTCAGCAGTATACTTTCCACTGGCCCTACTTTATCCCTTTAAATACCCATATTAGGATGGCTGCAGAAAGCCCCTTTGCCTTTTTGTCTCGTCATATTGCTGCCTGCCTCCCAGTCCCTGCTAACAGGACATGAAGCAGAAAGAAAAACACTTTCCTCCCACCGGAGAGTAAGCAGGCTTTGCTTAGCAGGCCCACAAACATACGTCGACTCTCACACACCTCCTATTCTCGGATCGGGATACCTCAGGGGGCTGAAAAGTCACCTCATTTAAAATTGAAACATGGCGAGGAAGAAAGCGGGTGGAGATGTAGTTCCTCTAGAGCGCATCAGTCGGGATTTCTCGCACATCCCTTAAAGCCTTAATTAAAAGACCGAGATGATGTAGGATAGAGATGCGAGGGAAGAGATGAGGGTCAGGTCACTAATCACTCCTCTAGAGGGGAAGGGATGGTGGCTAATGAAAAGAGGAGATACGAAGACAAAGACATGGACAAAGAGAACTGATGGAGAAGAGCCGCACATGAAGGAAACAATGCTGGTGGATAAAATTCTAGTGATGGGATTTATCTAGGAAAGGCAAAATAAAACCACAAAGGCTTAGAAAGGAAACACAGCAGGCTGATAGCCTCAGCAAGTTCTTCAAGTTGAGTTAAGGCAAGTTGAGGCAGTTCCTCTTACCTTTTCAAAGACCGGCTTGTTGTTGTTGACGTCGTCCACTCCTACTATAACCTGCGCTGTGGTGGATAGCGGCTGAGGCCCACCTGAGGCGTTGTCATCGGTGGCTGTAATGTTAAGGACGTATTCCACCCCCTGCAGGCGAGGCGGCGGACTGGAGCGCAGCCGGATCAGACCTGCAACCAGACACCCACAGTCAGTCCTACATGAAGCTTCTAGTCAATCCCTCTGACCTTTAGGAAAGGAAACTACAGTTGCAGCCATTCAAAATGTCCCCACTTTCCTTGATAGGGCCAATCTAGGAAAGGCTGGTACTTGGCTAGTCCCCTAAAATTCCATTTTAAACATCAAAAATATTATTTCTGTCATGATTTGTGGATATTAGGGTCTAAAGAGAAGGTCATCTCCTGGTCACACCCTGTAATTCAGTGAAAGGGTGGAGTCAGAGTGAAAAAACATAGACGCCCATGAGAAGGTCAGTGGCTGGAAGTTACAAGCTGAGTGTGAGAGATTGCCTTTGAGTCAATGAGTCGATGCAGTCATCTGGTTTTCCTTAAATAGAAAACTTTGATTCAAGATCGGGTTGAATTGTAAAGTGCCTTGAGATGACATGTGTTGGGAATTGGTGCTATAGAAATAAACTGAATTGAATTAAATTGAATTGATTTGATCTTCTGGCCAGAGAAAAAACACGTAATATGTAGCCAACATTTGGAAGAAGAATGTTTTCAAGATGACTTGGATAATAGCGCGTTGTGACAAACACCAGATACAGCACTGGGACTTGATCAACAGCCGATACCGCACCGTGACGTCACAAACCAGTAGGTGGCAGTGATGTTCTTTGACAAACATGGATGCCTCCAGTAAAGCACATTAACATGAAAATTACTTTTAATTAAACCACTTATCCTTTATTGAGTAGTATGTAATAATTTAATATTTAAAGTACTTTCAGAAGTTTGAATTCTAAATATGAGCGGACTTTTCCTTTAAGAATCATTTCCTCAAAATAAAATTTGATCAGGATGATGTCAGAATAATCTGGATCAGCCGATCTTTAAAAAAACATTCTGATGTGGCACAATTAAAAACTCCTGAAACACAGAATAACAGTTTATGACAAAGGCTTGATGACAAATGCTGTCAGAAAAGAATAGAGGCCATTTATTTTATAACAGTGAGCCCGATGGCTGTGCCTCATTTCCCCCTCCATGACTGAGATCATCTAAAAGAATTTTTCTTTTTTTTTTTACTTACTCATCAAAACTTCACTGTTGTTTGTTTTTATAGGAGCAAAGTAAACAAAAATCCATCCAGGTGTTTGACCTCAAGACACACTTTGTCTGATGTGTTAAAGTTCTGGTGAAGGACAAACAGAATAGATGCTTAAAATAAAGATTTAGTTTTTCAGGAAATGAGTCTGTGTCTGTTTTTATTTCCAACATGGGTCATTATTTCAGACCAGCCAGTGTTAGGCTGATTGGTATTCCCTATAGCTCAGTCACTTCCCATTTTATCTCCCGTCCTTCTTCCTCAGACGGACTCTTTCAGTCTGCTCTAGGCATCTCATCTGCATCCCACCGTGTGCTCTGAATGGCTCCCCTCCACTCGGTATGCATCTCCTCATTTGGCCTCTGTTTACCTTGCCTGTGTGTGTTTCTGTGTGTGTGTGAGCCAAACGTGTGGACACCCTTATTACACCCTCTTTATCTTCACAGACAGCGGTGGGGGCCGCTGTTGTCGTGTCCCTGTGTGGCTTCTGTTGCCGTACCGACCCTGGTTTGTAATCATATACGGACCTGTTGTAGATGTTTGCAAGCTATTTATCCTTCTATCGCTGCCAGGCAGACCAAAGGGACTGATGTGACAGATTAAAGTCCCAGGACGTACAATTATGGTTTTATATCCTCGTTTGGTGCATCTGCTGTGAGCAACAGAAAAATTCACAGCAATTCTGCTGGCTTGGAACATGACGACCAAAGACAAACGTTGATCAATCAAGAGGCTTCTGAGAGAAGAAAATATAAACACCACATAGGATTTCACACTTTGTTAAATGACCTGTAGAGCTGATAACTTCAGAATATAGATTATGTATAAAATGTAGCTGATATAACATGAGGTGTTTTCATTGTTAGAACAAAATATTCTGCTGTAGAAAGCAGGAATTCATGACTCAAAATACAAAAACTGCAAATATACCTTAAATAAAAATCCAAAATGATGAACGGCTGGTTTATAACATGCATGGAAACAGCAGACTTTCAGGATGGTTTCAGGCGTGATGCCTGATAAGCAAACATCTCCATGATTTGACTTGTGACTACAGATTATATGTGGAAACACAGGGAAGCTGACAACCTTGGCTGGGCCCGGTACAAAATAAAAAAAAATTGATGGGTGCAGGCCCATCAACTCTCTCTCTCTCTCCCTCTCTCTCTCTCTCTCTAAATATATATATATATATATATATATATATATATATATATATATATATATACAACAAAGTGAATTCAGTAGAACCTTTTATTGCCTACCTGGAATGGTACTCTGAAAGTACTTAAAATATGAAATTATTAGATAATGTTCAATAAATAATAGGAGTTTTTATTTAAGAGTAATTTTCATTTGAATGTGCTTTACTGGAGGCCTCCATGTTTGTCAAAGAACTCTACTGCCACCTACTGGTTTGTGACGTCACGGTGCGGTATCGGCTGTTGATCAAGTCCCAGTGCTGTATCATGTATTAATAATTGGCAATCCTTTTGGGGAAAGCCTGGTCTGATTCGGAGAGACGGCATCCATCCCACTTTGGATGGTGCAGCTCTTCTTTCTAGGAATCTGGCCACATTTATTAGTCCTCCAAAACCCTGACCACCCAGGGTGCAGACCAGGAAGCAGAGTTGTAGTTTAACACACATCTCTGCAGCTTCTCTACTGTTACCCACTCTTTACTCCATCCAGACAGTGTCTTGCCCACGACCAAAATCTAATAAATTAGCAAAGATTCCCAAAGGAGTAAATCATGATAATCTAATTAAAATCAAAATAACTCCAATTGGGGAAAAAGTTAAAACAATTAAATGCGGTCTGTTTAACATAAGATCGCTTTCCTCTAAAAGTCTACTAGTTAATGACTTGATTTGTGATAATCACATTGACTTGTTTTGCCTTACAGAAACCTGGCTGCAGCAAGAGGATTATGTGAGCATAAATGAGGCAACTCCTTCAAGCTATTTAAATTTTCACATCCCCAGAAGTTCTGGGCGAGGAGGAGGAGTAGCAACAATCTTCGAGTCTGACTTACTGATTACTCCCAAAACAATTAATTCCTACAACTCTTTTGAACATTTAACCCTTAATTTCCCTGATCCAAATTTCAAGGCAAGAAAACCTCTTCTTTTTGTAACTTTGTATCGTCCACCAGGTCCTTACTCTGAATTTTTAGATGAGTTTTCAGAGTTCCTTTCTGATTTGGTATTAAATACTGACAGGGTCATCATAGTGGGAGATTTTAACATCCATGCTGACATTGAAGGCGATAGCTTAAGAGCAGCCTTTAATGCTATCTTAGACACTATTGGCTTTGTTCAAAATGTGAATAGTCCCACGCATTCTCATCTTCATACTTTGGATCTTGTGCTGACATACGGCATAGAATGTGAAGAAATAACAGTATTTCCTCACAACCCTGTCCTCTCTGACCACTTTCTAATAACCTTCAGGATTACTTTAACAGAGTTCTCCTCCCCCAAAAGAAGGTTGGATTTTAGTAGATCTTTATCAGATAGTGCAGTTATAAATTTTAAAGAATCTGCTTCACTTTCTCTCTGCTCTGTGTCACTGAGCAGTGCTGCAGAGTGCAAAAGCTTAGCTTATTCCCCTTCACAGGTTGATGATTTTGTTGAGGGGGTTGCTAGTTCTCTGCGTATTGCCTTAGACAACGCAGCTCCTTTGAAAATGAAAACCGTTAAAAATAGAAAGCTTGCTCCTTGGTTTAATGCAGAGCTGCGTACTTTGAAGCAAAATGCTAGGAAACTGGAGAGAAAATATCGCTCCACAGGCCTGCGAGAGTCCTTCCTAGTCTGGAAAAATGGTTTACTGCTGTATAAGAGGACCCTTTGTAAAGCAAGAGCAGCATACTTCTCCTCATTAATAGAGGAGAATAAGAATAATCCTAGATTTCTTTTTAATACAGTTGCCAAACTCACCCAGAGCCATAGCTCTGTTGAACCGTCCATTCCACCTGCTCTTAGCAGCAATGATTTTATGGGATTCTTTATAAATAAGATTGATCTTATTAAAAATAAGATCATAAGCACTCCTCTATCCGCGATTGTACCTGAGGTAGTCATGGAATCTGAACCGGGTTTAGACTGCTTTGATCCAGTTGAACTCTCTGAATTAGCAAAATTATTGTCTTCATCTAAGCCTTCAACTTGTATGTTAGATCCAGTTCCAACCAGGTTATTTAAGGAGGTATTCCCTTTGATCTCCTCCTCCATTTTAGATGTGATTAATCTATCTCTGTTACAGGGATATGTACCTAAAGCTTTTAAGATTGCTGTAATTAAACCTCTGCTTAAGAAACCGTCTCTTGACCCAGATGACTTGGTCAATTATAGACCTATATCCAATCTTCCTTTCTTATCCAAAATTCTTGAGAAAGTAGTTGCCAAACAAGTTTGCGATCACTTCCACCATAATGAACTTTTTGAAGAGTTTCAGTCTGGCTTTAGAGCTCATCATAGCACTGAAACAGCTCTGGTGAAAGTCTCTAATGATATTCTCATGGCCTCAGATAATGGACTTGTATCTGTGCTCGTCCTGTTGGATCTTAGTGCTGCATTTGATACAGTTGACCATAATATTCTTTTAGAAAGACTTGAATATTTTCTTGGAATTAAAGGAACAGCACTAGACTGGTTTAAATCTTATCTATCTGATCGAATTCAGTTTGTTCATGTTAATGATAGATCTTCAACACGCTCAAAGGTTACCTGTGGAGTACCACAGGGATCAGTGCTAGGACCAATTCTCTTTACTTTATACATGCTCCCAATTGGTAGAATTATTAGACAGCATGGGATTAATTTCCACTGTTATGCTGATGATACCCAGCTATATCTGTCTATAAATCCAGATGAAGCTAACCCATTACATAGATTACAGG